TGAAAAAGTGGTGGGGACACGATGGAAGCAGGCCTGAGTGAGCAAACCGTAAACGAAATCTCTCCGTCGAATTATATATGAACGCTCTTGTGAAGGCTGAGGAAGTCACGTCCGAGGAGAACATCCGAACATAGATCGCGCAGTATAGATAGTTTGAAACGTTCGTAAACACGGTTTTTGAATTTGATAGAGATAAGGCATTGCCCCTTTTGTGCTGCTTGATAGGGAACTTTAGGCGATTGTGATAGTTTCTCTGGATGAGAGTACCTTCCACTTATTGGTGAGTACTAGGTTCTCTGAAACAGCTTGCTGAGTTCCCGGTGTCGATCAGAGCACGACAAGGGACTCCATTGACCTCGAGATCCACGACAGATTTTGAGAGACATGCGGGAGAATTAGCCGCGATAGTCGCCGATATAGATGGGCAAGCGGCAGATGAAGCGTAACTTTGTTGGCTTTTTGAGGGACAAACACTTTGAAAGTGACCCTTTTTACCACAACCTTTACAGAGACTATTTCTTGAGAGGTACTTCGAGCGAGGGTACTTGTCGAGGCCACAGAAGAAACACTTGGGGCGGACTACGGCGGCGATAATATCGTTAGAACACTCTATCAAAGACTTGTGTGGGGAGGGAGNGTATAACCGCCGTGTGGGATGCAGTGGGAAAGTTCTGGTAGGACATGGATTGTTGCTCTGCCATTTCTAGGGCTCTTGCTTGATCGAAGCCCTTTTGAAAATTCAGCGAACTATTTTCCAGTAGGCGTTGTCTGATATGGTTAGATTGAATTCCACTAATAAATGCGTCTCGGAGAGCATCGTCTCGGTTTTCCTCAGGGGCAGTGGACCTGAAGGTGCAGTCTCTTGCTAGGGACGAACTGGTCGAGAGTTAGCCCACTGTCCTGTTTGGCGGTGGCGAGGATATGACAGATGAAGACCTCATATTTTGGATGCACATAAAGGTTACTAAGCGTCTCCACTGCCATCTCATAGCTTTCACATTCCACGACATGTTCGTAGACAGCAGAAGATATGTATGGAATCAGCATATCCAGTTTGTCGGGTTTTAGATTATCCACTGACTTGAGAAGGCTGAGAAAAGTCGTGTACCAATGGTTCCACTGCCTGGTAGCATCTGGTGAGCTAGGTTTAACATCGAACCTTTCGAGGCGTAATATTCGATCCATTGCTGTATGTCGAATAAATTGTAGTGTTATAGCAGCGTGCACGAGAAAACAGAACGAGAAAGGCCCAAACGTTAGGCTTTATTCAACATACAGCGTACGTATGAAAGCTGAAAAAGGAAGGGGAGATACGAGTCAGAAAGCGACTTCTCTAACCGTGAATTTCAGCTTATGTGGCTGAAAATTCGATTCCCTTTTTTCAACCACTATTTTTATACTGTTTGCCGCTCCCCGAGCAGCAGCGATTCTTCTATTTTTGATATTCTGTCTTCCAACATGGATATACTAATGTCGGCAGATTCTAACAACCAAAACACCATTATCGGAGATGTTCACAACAAGGAATGGCTGAAGCACTCCTCAGACACTACCTTCATGGGATGCGAAGCCAAGGCTTTGGCTGTGGTCAACAACCTAAATCAACTAGTTGACCTCCCCACGCGCATCCCTGATCGTATTGGTGACTGCACCCACACCCTTGACCTCATTTGCACATCCATTCCCTCTTCCTCCTCCAACATCACTTCCCTTTCCCCATTAGGCTCATCGGACCATTGTCCCATTTCTTTTCTCACTCATCACCAAACTCCAGATGAAGTTTTTGGCGTTACGATTCAGCCAACTGGGACGGTTTTCGTGACTTTCTGGCTTGTTTTAAATCGGATGTTTCCAAGTCTGTTTCAAACTTCACGGAGATTGTTCTTCAAGGCATGTATCTTTATATTCCACGTTTCTACAAACCCGGCAAATCACGATCCCTTGAGTAGTTTGATCATGCTTGCAACCGTGTTGTACGTATTCCATCGTTGGCTTCACTCACCCAATCCAGCATCCCGCAACCGCTTCGTGCACACCATAAACAAATGCTTAGTCTCTATCCAGAGAGTTAAAGAATGCTTCATTGGCGCTCTTGGCTTCTTCCGCCACCAGTAACCGAACATTCTGGTCCCTCGATAAAGCGGTTTCACGTAATTTCTGCCCTTCCAATTTTCCTCTCATTTCCAATTCCTCTGGTACTCTTGTTTGTGATCCCCACAATANAATAAGCAGAGGTCTTCGCTTCCCGGTTTGCCTTTAACTCCACCTTAGCGGCCGCCGCTACTGTTCAACCCTCCTACACATCCAGTCACTCCTTTCTATCTATCATAACAACCACAAAGGTCCGCCAAACTTTTACCTTTTTGGATGTTTGTAAACCACTAGGTCCGGACGGTATTCCACCTGTCGTCCTAAAAATGTGTGCCCCGGAGTTAGCCCCGCCTTTTCTGTTATTCACTTGAACTTAAATCTTTCCCTACTCCATGGGAAAATGTCATTATTTTTTCAATCCCAAATCGCGGCGATC